GAAGTACCCAATGACGTTATAGCCTACGGCCTATAAGTACCCAATGACAGTGATGGCCTAAAAGTACCCAATGCCTGTTATGACATAGGAGTACTCATTGATACTTATGGCCCAGAGGTGCCCAATAAAAAAAAAGTGTTGGACCAGGCGTACCAAATACCGGTAATTGAAAAGAAATAACCAATGACTTTGATGGACCAGAAATAACCAATGACGTTGATGGACCAGAAATAACCAATGACGTTGATGGACCAGAAATAACCAATGACTTTGATGGACCAAAAATAACCAATGATGTTGATGGATTAGAAGTACACCTACATGTGTGATAATAAAGCATTTTTTAAAGATTAGATTTAAAAACACGCATTTTCTTAAAATGTCATGAAAAGATGCAAAAGAAATGTGTACCAAAACGTCAGAGGTGTTACAGTCATATGACTTTAAAAAAGTGTGAGGCGCACATCAAATACAGTGATGTTGTATGACTTGACAACTACAATTTTTGAAACATGTATAATCTTGCATTGCTGCAAGTAAGTGTAATGTGACGAAACGTTATGATAATGATTATATAATCATGGAAATGTGAGTTGTCATTACTGTTGTATGCTCTCACCAATTGTGATCTTGACAAGTAGTATGAAGTTAGCGATACCGCTGCGAGCATGTCTTTGCGATTTACTAAGAACGTTGAGTTACATTTGTGTGTGTGTGGCATAAGCTCAGTGTTACAGAAACTGAGCAACACAAAATTCACTCATGCAGCTTATTATTAAATAATCATATACGAGCATGTGCCTTTCCAAATGTGGATACGTGGTTCCACATAGTTTAACACATATGATCACCTATTGCTCAGAAGAGATTTCAGTTTTTCTCAGTTAACGTATGATCAAAAACGTTAACAGGACAACTTTACAACTAGGCGGGTTGGAGGCTAAATTTCTACTGATAATAGAAGAAGACATGCTAGGAAAAAGTAACATTTGATGATGTCATCAAAGACTTGACCATAAACAGATAAACAATTTGAACATATGTAATATTCCAATATTCTATTCTATTCTAGCTTAACTATAAGTTATGTTCTTATCAATATGAACACATATAAACATATTATCTATATATGTGAGTTCTGGTTGTGTCAATCAAGTTTTATTGCACGGTTCATATTTCTTGTTAATTCAAGTGATATACATCTAAGGAATACACATATTTAAAAGGGCGTAGGGTGTTCATCCGGCCATCCATCTATTAATAAGCATTGTTATGTGCGGTGTCTATTACACAAGGAAAGAAAAATAAAATTGTATGCCATGTGCTACGACTTTGAGAACCCTCGATCAGGAAGTATAATTCAGTTGTGGTTAGTTTAAATCTCAACGTTGCCATAGAGTTTTACAGATGTCCCATACGCTGTGTGATGAATAACGTTAATCTCAAGTGCAGTTACTGAAGACTTCTTGATGAAATACAACACAATGGTCACGTCCTTATGTTGAGTCATCATGACAACAACACAAAATAGATTGATTTGTGGAGACAGTATGAGACCGAAAAGTTCTGAAAGAAACATTTAATAAACTACATTTACCACGGTAAGAAAGATAATTTGCAACAAAATAGAAAAGGAAATTCACAAAATAGCAGGAGATGAAGTTAGTTTGGAAAATGGACATTTGTTTAGGGGGAAAAAACAAAAATATTAAACACATCTTTCAATTTTCAATACTCTCTTTGAATTCTGGCATCACCAAGACCAGGGGTCAACAATCGTTTGTCACGGAGGGCCGGATGAACTGGCCAGATAACGGAAAAAAATAACGAGCGCGGGCCAGATAATCATTCTGGACAATAGTTACAAGCATGTTCAAGCACCGTCTGTGGGCAGAAAAAACTGACCGTAGTTTGGTGACCCCTTACCAAGACAATTAAATTATGAAATTTGATTAAAATTTTGAGAACCACAATTTCTCAAATGTAGTAGCACGTTATCGCAGCCCCTCATAAAAAGAGGGGAAAAGTAATAAGACCACAAATTAGTATTTCCTCAATAAACGTTGGGTATATTTTATACGAGGGAAATGGAATGAGCTTCTATAAAGAGGTGTATCCAAAACATTCTGAGCAATTTTGTGCAGACTATTTATAAAAATATTGATGAAAAGGAACATTTGTTATATATGAAACAAACGGGTCCCTGCTAGATTTATTTTTTTAAGTAACAAGGGGCGAAAAGTATAACATAAAATATGAGAACCGCTGCAATACAAATTTGAAGAGTTATCAAGTGTTGAGGAAGCAAAAAGCAAACTTCAGACTTCGTCGTTGATTTTGTGTTTGTTAAACTAAAACAGGCAAGACTTCATACCGACTTGTTTACAAGGTAGGAACTGGTAAGGTACATCTGGAGACGCACAGTTAATAAGACCTATGATATTCCTATAAATGATTTTTATTTCAGTATTGTTAACGTTATGATTATTTTACTGCATTCTGTGGTGATGCTATCTACCAATCTGTTTCAGTTAATGTATATTGGCTTGTGTTGCTATGGTTGAAACGGGATGAAAGACTTGGACTTGGTATGCTCGTATGTAGCTTTATATTGTTGCGTCTGTTTTTAAATGTGGTAAAAAAAAAAAATTTTCTCTCTCTTTTTAATATGGTTGACTTTGTACCGCGCTTCGAGCTTTTGAGGATGAAGCGTGTTTTTCAAAAAAACTTTATTGTTATTATTATGATTATTATTTTTAACTGTATTATGTATAATTTAGTACCCTAGTTCTGTTTGTGAAAGTGATATAATGATAGTAACTAGAGTATTATAGTATTTTGGCTATCAATGAAGGAGTTTCCTTTGATTATTTAGCAGTCGCACTACCTCGTGGGATAGGCCGGACAGCGATCTTTGGTCCCTACATGTTGTTCACCCGGTGCACATTGCTTCAAGGTGATGTAGATTTAACTGCCGCCACACCATGTCAATGTCTTGACCAGCTGGCAAAATGAGGTTGGGGGTAACTAAGGTCTTAAAGGCGTGTTTAAAAGAAGCTTTCAATCCATAACATATGAATTCTGGAACGGGTGGAGGGCTCGGTGGAACCACTGGCTGATCATTGGTGGATGGCTCGGTGGAGCAACTGGCTGATCATTGGTGGATGGCTCGGTGGAACCACTGGCTGATCATTGGTGGATGGCTCGGTGGAACCACTGGCTGATCATTGGTGGATGGCTCGGTGGAACCACTGGCTAATCAATGGTGGATGGCTCGGTGGAACTACTAGCTGATCATTGGTGGATTGATCGGTGGAACCACTGGCTGATCATTGGTGGACGGCTCGGTGAAACGACTGGCTGATCAAGGGTGGATGGCTCGGTGGAACCACTGGCTGATCATGGGTGGATGACTCGGTGGAGCCACTGGCTGATCAAGGGTGCTTGGCTCAGTGCAACCACTGACTGATCATTGGTGGATGGCTCGGTGGAGCCACTGGCTGATCATTGGTGAATGACTCGGTGGAACCACTGTCTGATCATTGGTGGATGGCTCGATGGAACCACTGGCTGATCATTGGTGGATGGCTCGGCGGAACCACTGGCTGATCATTGGTGGATGGCTCGGTGAAACCACTAGCTAATAAAGAGCAATACAAAAATAACACTATCAACGCAATGTGAGCCGCTTACAGAGCTGCACCGCTTAGTAGATGATTCCCTCCGCCAAGTTGCGTCAACCGACGTTCTTGACATTGTCTCGTTGATTGAACGTGTGGACTTTGGGGACGAGAGATTTGAGGTTGAAGACTCACATTACAGGTTGACATTGTCTTGTTGATTGAACGTGTGGACTTTGGGGCGAGAGATTGGGGGGGGGGGACGAATCGTATTACAGGTTGACATTGTCTCGTTGATTGAACTAGTTGACTTTGGGGGCGAGAGATTTAAGGTTGAAGACTCATATTACAGGTTGACATTGTCTTGTTAATTGAACTAGTTGACTTTGGGGACGAGAGATTTGAGGTTGAAGACTCACATTACAGGTTGACATTGTCTTGTTGATTGAACTAGTTGACTTTGGGGACGAGAGATTTGAGGTTGAAGACTCACATTACAGGTTGACATTGTCTTGTTGATTGAACTAGTTGACTTTGGGGACGAGAGATTTGAGGTTGAAGACTTACATTACAGGTTGACATTGTCTTGTTGATTGAACCAGTTGACGTTGGGGATTAGAGATTTGAGGTTGAAGACTCACATTACAGGTTGACATTGTCTTGTTGATTGAACTAGTTGACTTTGGGGACGAGAGATTTGAGGTTGAAGACTCACATTACAGGTTGACATTGTCTTGTTTATTGAACTAGTTGACTTTGGGGACGAGAGATTGAGGTTGACGAAATACGTCACTGTTCCTTCCTTGAATCCAAGCGTTTAGCGCATATCAGCTTTGTCATCCGTTCCATGCCAGTCAGATCAGCTTTGTCATCCGTTCCATGCCAGTCAGATCAGCTTTGTCATTCGTTCCATGCCAGTCAGATCAGCTTTGTCATCCGTTCCATGCCAGTCAGATCAGCTTTGTCATCCGTTCCATGCCAGTCAGATCAGCTTTGTCATCCGTTCCATGCCAATCAGTTTTAAAATGAAGTCATAACTGGTCACGGTGTCCTTTGACAGCGCACTGGTCAAGATGACGGCGGTGTCGTCTTTTGGGGGATCCTGGCGAGGTTTTAGCCGGCGATGGAATGCAAGGAGTTAATTGGTTTACCTCAGGTGATTATCGGTTTTGATTGCACTATAATAATATAGGGTTTCCGTAGCTGTCTCTCAGATCAGTAGTAAATGTTCGCTGAGTCTTTATAAAAGAGAAGCTTTCTTGATTTTTGAGCTTGCACAGGATTTCTATATCACAATAATTTACTCTTATATTGTGGTGAGTTACTAATGAACATCAACAGTCCTGTCAACAGACAAAAAATGTAAATTTATCTATTTCCAGATAACTCTAGAAATCAAAGATGCTGTTTATTGGTAGAGTTAGCATTCTTGAACTTACAGGCGTGTTTATGCTGGGCGTTGGTGTACTTCTAAACACTGCTGGACTTGCCACACCGGGGTTGGTAGAACTTGCAACATATGGTGGTTATATGTCTCTAGGTCTGTGGAAATATTGCTGGCGGGAGATGTGTGCAAAGTACAAATATGAAACTGTGCATTGTAAGTTATTTGTTCATTATCACAAGTCAGCAATGCTTTGTTAGTTATCTGTTCATTATCACAAGTCAGCAATGCTTTGTTAGTTATCTGTTCATTATCACAAGTTAGCAATGCTTTGCAAGTTATCTGTTCATTATTACAAGTCAGCAATGCTTTGTAAGTTATATGTTCATTATCACAAGTCAGAATGCTTTGTAAGTTATCTGTTCATTATCACAAGTCAGCAATGCTTTGTAAGTTATTTGTTCATATCACAAGTCAGCAATGCTTTGTTAGTTATCTGTTCATTATCACAAGTCAGCAATGCTTTGTAAGTTATTTGTTCATTATCACAACCAGCAATGCTTTGTTAGTTATCTGTTCATTATCACAAGTCAGCAATGCTTTGTTAGTTATCTGTTCATTATCACAAGTCAGCAATGCTTTGTTAGTTATCTGTTCATTATCACAAGTCAGCAATGCTTTGTTAGTTATCTGTTCATTATCACAAGTCAGAAATGCTTTGTAAGTTATCTGTTCATTATCACAAGTCAGCAATGCTTTGTAAGTTATCTGTTCATTATCACAAGTCAGCAATGCTTTGTAAGTTATTTGTTCTATATCACAAGTCAGCAATGCTTTGTTAGTTATCTGTTCATTATCACAAGTCAGCAGGGCTTTGTTAGTTATCTGTTCATTATCACAAGTCAGCAATGCTTTGTTAGTTATCTGTTCATTATCACAAGTCAGCAATTTTTTGTAAGTTATTTGTTCATTATCAATACCAGCAATGCTTTGTTAGTTATCTGTTCATTATCACAAGTCAGCAATGCCTTGTTAAATATCTGTTCATTATCACATGTCAGCAATGCTTTGTTAGTTATCTGTTCATTATCACATGTCAGCAATGCTTTGTTAGTTATCTGTTCATTATCACAAGTCAGCAATGCTTTGTTAGTTATCTGTTTATTATCACAATTCAGCAATGCTTTGTAAGTTATCTGTTCATTATTACAATTCAGCAATGCTTTGTAAGTTATCTGTTCATTATCACAAGTCAGCAATGCTTTGTAAGTTATTTGTTCATTATCACAAGTCAGCAATGCTTTGTAAGTTATCTGTTCATTATCACAAGTCAGCAATGCTTTGTTAGTTATCTGTTCATTATCACAAGTCAGCAATGCTTTGTAAGTTATTTGTTCATTATCACAAGTCAGCAATGCTTTGTAAGTTATCTGTTCATTATCACAAGTCAGCAATGCTTTGTTAGTTATCTGTTCATTATCACAAGTCAGCAATGCTTTGTTAGTTATCAGTTCATTATCACAAGTCAGCAATGCTTTGTTAGTTATCTGTTCATTATCTTAAGTCAGCAATGCTTTGTTAGTTATCTGTTCATTATCACAAGTCAGCAATGCTTTGTAAGTTATTTGTTCATTATCACAAGTCAGCAGGACTTTTTTAGTTATATGTTAATTATCACAATTTAGCAATGCTTTGTTAGTTATCTGTTCATTATCACAAGTCAGCAATGCTTTGTTAGTTATCTGTTCATTATCACAATTTAGCAATGCTTTGTTAGTTATCTGTTCATTATCACAAGTCAGCAATGCTTTGTTAGTTATCTGTTTATTATCACAATTCAGCAATGCTTTGTAAGTTATCTGTTCATTATCACAAGTCAGCAATGCTTTGTAAGTTAGTTGTTCTATATCACAAGTCAGCAATGCTTTGTTAGTTATATGTTCATAATCACAAGTCAGCAGGGCTTTGTTAGTTATCTGTTCATTATCACAAGTCAGCAATGTTTGTTAGTTATCTGTTCATTATCACAAGTCAGCAACTTTTTGTAAGTTATCTGTTCATTATCACAAGTCAGCAATGCTTTGTTAGTTATCAGTTCATTATCACAAGTCAGCAATGCTTTGTTAGTTATCTGTTCATTATCTTAAGTCAGCAATGCTTTGTTAGTTATCTGTTCATTATCACAAGTCAGCAATGCTTTCTTAGTTATCTGTTCATTATCACAAGTCAGCAATGCTTTGTAAGTTATCTGTTCATTATCACAAGTCAGCAATGCTCTGTAATTTATTTGTTCATTATCACAAGTCAGCAATGCTTTGTTAGTTATCTGTTCATTATCACAAGTCAGCAATGCTTTGTTAGTTATCTGTTCATTATCACAAGTCAGCAATGCTTTGTAAGTTATCTGTTCATTATGACAAGTCAGCAATGCTTTGTTAGTTATCTGTTCATTATCACAAGTCAGCAATGGTTTGTTAGTTATCTGTTCATTATCACAAGTTAGCAATGCTTTGCAAGTTATCTGTTCATTATTACAAGTCAGCAATGCTTTGTAAGTTATCTGTTCATTATCACATGTCGGAATGCTGTGTAATTTATCTGTTCATTATCAAAAGTCAGCAATGCTTTGTAAGTTATTTGTTCATTATCACAATTTAGCAATGCTTTGTTAGTTATCTGTTCATTATCACAAGTCAGCAATGCTTTGTTAGTTATCTGTTTATTATCACAATTCAGCAATGCTTTGTAAGTTATCTGTTCATTATTACAATTCAGCAATGCTTTGTAAGTTATCTGTTCATTATCACAAGTCAGCAATGCTTTGTAAGTTATTTGTTCATTATCACAAGTCAGCAATGCTTTGTTAGTTATCTGTTCATTATCACAAGTCAGAAATGCTTTGTTAGTTATATGTTCATTATCACAAGTCAGCAATGCTTTGCTAGTTATCTGTTCATTATCACAAGTCAGCAATGCTTTGTTAGTTATCTGTTTATTATCACAAGTCAGCAATGCTTTGTAAGTTATCTGTTCATTATCACAAGTCAGCAATGCTTTGTAAGTTATTTCTTCTATATCACAATTCAGCAATGCTTTGTTAGTTATCTGTTCATAATCACAAGTCAGCAGGGCTTTGTTAGTTATCTGTTCATTATCACAAGTCAGCAATGCTTTGTTAGTTATCTGTTCATTATCACAAGTCAGCAATGCTTTGTAAGTTATCTGTTCATTATCTTAAGTCAGCAATGCCTTGTTAGTTATCTGTTCATTATCACAAGTCAGCAATGCTTTGTAAGTTATCTGTTCATTATCACAAGTCAGCAATGCTTTGTAAGTTATCTGTTCATTATCTTAAGTCAGCAATGCCTTGTTAGTTATCTGTTCATTATCACAAGTCAGCAATGCTTTGTAAGTTATCTGTTCATTATCACAAGTCAGCAATGCTTTGTAAGTTATTTGTTCATTATCACAAGTCATTAATGCTTTGTAAGTTATTTGTTCATTATCACAAGTCAGCAATGCTTTGTAAGTTATCTGTTCATTATCACAAGTCAGCAATGCTTTGTTAGTTATCTGTTCATTATCACAAGTCAGCAATGCTTTGTTAGTTATCTGTTCATTATCACAAGTCAGAAATTTTTTTTAAAGTTACCTGTTCATTATCACAAGTCAGCAATGCTTTGTTAGTTATCTGTTCATTATCACAAGTCAGCAATGCTTTGTAAGTTATTTGTTCATTATCACAAGCCAGCAATGCTTTGTTAGTTATCTGTTCATTATCACAAGTCAGCAATGCTATGTAAGTTATTTGTTCATTATCACAAGTCAGCAATGTTCTTTATAAAGTCAAATTACACCTACATTTTATTTCCACCATAAAATAACTGCAGTAATTATAAAAATACGTTCAACAATCAGTTGTTCCAATGCATTTGTGTTGCCGGAGAAGCATGTGTATGTTAATGTGTTTGAATGTGTGTTTTAATCGGCTAAACATACTGGATCAGTACATGAAGCAGTTTTATTCGTATATTCAGTTTGAAGTAAGAAGTTAGTGGGGGACAAGAAGACTTGCTACTCATCATTAACAGATCAATTATGGATTTTCTAATTCTTTTTTTTTTTTTAAATTATCTATGCGTTTAACAGGTAAATTTAGACACCTAGCTTAGACTTTTACAATCATTTAATCTATTTAAGATTTGGCGGTTTGGGGTGGGGGGGGGGGGGGGGGGGGAGAAATCATAGATGCACACATGTTTTATTGATGTAATAACCCCCCCTCCATAAAAAATAATATATGTATAATTATTATATTATAAATATTATATATATAATTATATCAAATCACACACTAATAGTTTAAATTCGACAAAAATTTAAAGTGAGCTGTGACTTGAAGGTAAACTACGTCCAAATGACTTTCAATGTCAGACATTGCTTAGCTGAAATTTTTATAAAAATCAAATCTTACAGTGCAGTGCACATATATGATTCACGCTAGTACCCGAAACATATATTTCTTTTTTTTTAAATTTAACAAAATGTATGGCAATATAAAGTTAACTAAAATATCATCAACTGTTAATTGATGAAAAATGAAAAAAAAAAAACAATATTGTTGACATGTATATTTTTTTGTTCCTTGTAGTTCATGACATTCAGCAAATACTGATACGTGGTCAAGTCTTCGCCATATTAGCGATGGTATCCAGTTGCCTGGGCTTGGCCCTGACCTTCACCTCTGTTGCGTTACGTCAGATGGGTAAACCAAAGATCGGTTTTCTTCACGTGATTTCATTTGTCGCGTATAAATTTTCACGTAAGTTCATTGATGACGTCAAAAGTCTCTGTCCGTAATCTCAAAGCCAACACGTTTGTGGTAAAAACATTGCAATGATTTAATTTGCTCACGTAGAGCTGAATATTGGGAACTATTGTAAAATGCATTACTATTTGATCTATTAGAGACTCCGTTCCTCGTGTCGAGTATAGGCGTTTAATAATGATTGTTGCCACTGAATAGTATTATTTTATTATGCTTTATTACGCGCGGTGTGCGTTTGAGAGTTCTATTAGTTTGTGAACGCTCTTCTCGCGCTTGACTCTGTGACGTATTTTTATGCTGATTGTGACGTATTGTCTAGACGGTATTGTGGCGTAAGTTTTAATCGTGCGGCAGTATGGAATGGAACTTTGTGGAAGTTGGATGTGTATTATTTATGTCTGAAAGCGAGCTGCACTACATTCATGTGTTTATGTCTATAGTATATACTTAGATATTAAAGTTATAATTATTATGAAAAGGAATTGAGTTTATTCAGTGATAGCTAGAATAGTACGACGTATTCAACGTGTGAAAGAACCTGGCGAATTAATGAATTTAGTAGAACATATGAGTTGACAAAGCTTCATTTTTAAAACTCTATATTTCAGTTGCTTTCATCCTGAGAACACTCATTGTGTGTGGCGTTATGTTACAGCCGTCGATCCTTGAGATCGGCTACTCCTTTATCCTGAGTACCATCGGTGGCATCATGATTCTTGTGGGCAATATCGTATTTTATCTGGCCATTAAAAAAGTAGACGACACGCCTCAACATACACGCCTAATTGACCAGTCTTAACTTGCCTTAGGACAGACAGACGGACAGAGGGCCGGATGGACAGACAGACGGACAGACACTGGGACGGACGGCCAAACAGACAGACGGACACATGGAGGTAAAGGCTAAGCTCTGATGAGAAAACATCACAATACTTCAGGAACTAACTATCCAAACAAACAAGTAGAGAAACTCGGAACCATCCCGATTAAGAAACACACTGTCAGGGGTCATCAAGATTGTGTCAGTGGAGGGCGAGTCCTGAAACCCGTGTTGTGGCTAATGGTGGACACTTCGAATAAATATTATAGTTCATATTATTAACAATTAAACATTAGAATTAAAATGAGTTTTGAAATTGAGAAAAGTGTATAAATATTTATAAAAATTCCAGAAATGTGTCTCTAAATTACGAACAGATTTAATAATGGCTTTCAAAATGTTATTTCGTTACATACATATCTGAAGAATTTGAAAGGTTTTGACAATAAATGAAAGACATTTTAGTTTAAAGTTTGTAACAGGACTTTTAAAAAAAATATTTTTACCAAAGATTTGGTTAATATCACAAAATTATTTTTACCAAGTCCCAGTTTAATACAATATTATTTGTACCAAAACTTTAAACACAATACAACAGTATGTTTTACGCTATATTTATATCTTTAGCTTCATGCAATTATTATTTTTTATTCCACATAATATATTACCTAAATTTTGTATAAGCGGCTGGTTAATTTGAATGAAAAGATGCGTGCGTAAATTGAAGGTACAATTATTTTAATTTTTTTTTTTTGTTCTTTTCCTATTGCCAAACAAATGCTGCTCTGTGTGTGGTGGCTTTTTATAAATCTAATTTCTGCGCTTTATATGAATACGATATTATATGTCTACTCAATATTCTATGACTACTCTATGTTTTAAGTTGTTGTTTTGTTGATTAAATATTGTCTCTGGCGCAAACGTGACATTGAAAAGTTCGATCGTTGACAATGCATTATGTCTTTAGTCAATTTGTTACTTTGCATTGAACATTGTGTCATACACAATGTTTAAGTGGGTCACCCAATTTAAATGTGTATCAACGAGTTGTTGGTTTTTTGTTGTTGTTTTTTTTAAATAGTTTATTACGCAGTTTTCATGTGTGAATGTGTAATGGGAGGCCATTAAGAATAACTGCACGAGCTTTGAACAGTGCTCGGAAAGGCTCGAGTGTGAGCGAATCGTTTCAACAGACATCGCCATCATGTTGGGATAGGTGTGGTGTTGTTTATGTTATGACGAGCAGAATGTTATCACAAATCTATATTGAATAATGTGTAATGATGCCAACACTGTCATTCAAACAGGTGGACTGTATGAAAGAAAAATAACAAATGAAGATTATTTGTTTTTTATTTAAAAGTCAGATTATTTCCCCTCCAGTTAGAAATTCACATTTCGGGAACTTCATTCAATAGTTTTAACCATGAACATTATTTTTTAACTGTTTTTTTTTTTTTTTTTTTTTTTTTTTTTTTAAGTTTTTTCTTCCTATTTTTTTTTTTTTTTTTTTTTTAATGTTTTTTTTTTTTCATTTTTTTTTATAATTTTTTTTTTTTTTTTTTTTTTTTTTTTTTTTTTCCCTTAACATTTTTTTTTTCCTTTTTTTTTTTTTTTTTTTTTTGTTGGTCTAAAGTTTAGCATCCCAATTTTTATTTTTATTTTATTTTTAAGCGATTAAAATCGTGTATCCATTTACTGGGGCAATTGTAATAACATTATTTTTAATGTATTTATTTATAAATATGTTAACGGCAAGGTGTGAAATCCGGCATTGTATAGAATACCTAGAAATTGCCTAAAATTTGTAGGAGAAGTATGAAATCGTTTACATTTCACACATTTCTTAGGATTTCTATACACTGCCGAAGAGCGACGCGGCAATGTTTAGAGTACCCCATGATTAATGTTTGATTCTTTACTCGGCTCAAGTACAAGCCAACACAACAAGAAACCGAGTTTCAATAACGCAGTTGTCGGCAAACTCGTAAGTCAAAAGAGGCAAATAATCAGCAGCAGGACAAATTTAAAAAATTTGAGAGCCCAATTTCTGTTCAAAAACCTGTCAAGAAACATGTTTTTTTGGAGTCTAAAAAGATTTGTTTCCGACTGACGCGATTTGCCGACCACTGCTCTAACGGAAACCAGTTACCAAAATTTAGTAGATTGGTCTGAAATAGGCTCCGACGACGACTCCGAAGAAACCCCGAGACTATTGGCTGCTGAAACACTAGTATGCAATGGTGGTAGAGAACAAAGGTAAGTTGATATATCCTGTTAAAGAAGGCGACAGTGCTGTTCAGTTCTATGTCAAAGGAGCCTGAACTACTTGACGTACTTCATGAGGCTCATTTGGCTCAACAGGAAGCGACCAAGGATTCGTGAGCTGTGTGTGCAAGACTGAGTGCAAAAACATGAAGTGTCTTTGTGTGAAAAAAAGAAAATGAAGTGCAATTCGAAATGCCCCTCTAGCCTTACTTTCTGCAACAAGTAGCTCGATGCCACATTTGCTTTACGGTTTCGTTGTTAAGAATGTTCTTTACTCATTTCATTTTATTCTCTCGTTTTTCAGTACGGATTTTTTTACAATAAAAACGTTTTCATTATGCTCTTTTGAAACTTTGCCTCAAGAATATTTGTCATTATGTATAATACCTAGGCAATGTTTATAATAGTTAGGCAATGTTTATAATGCCTAGGCAACGTATGTAACATAATCACGAAAATCCAATATATAATACTTTGACTAAAAACTTCAAGCATTCTATATAATTGCTAGCCATTCTACACAATACCTGCATTTCACACATTGCAGGTAACATGTGTAATCATAAAAGGGATTTAGCCAAATACTTTTGGAGGTATTATTTGATCATTAATTATAAATACAACTAGCTTTTAAGGGCGGAAATAAAGGCAGCTTGTTAAAACGTCTTTCTTTGAATGAAGTTTCCATTAAAAATATATAAGGAATTTAAATGTATAGATAATTTGCTTATATTCAACCAACAATATAACAATTGCTTATATTCAGCCAACAATATAACAATTGCTTATATCAAGCCAAGATTACAGCTATTGCTTATAGTAAGCCAATATAATTATTGCTTTGAAAGTTGTTGGGTTTTTTAAACTTTCTATTAAGGATTTATTAATCTTATTTATCAATATTTACGTAATATCTAGTATAAAATAAAGGAAATATCGCCTTCAAACAATGATTTTAGTTGACTTTGATTGACTGTACCTGTGTTTTCATTTACATATGTTTTGTAAAAACAGTGGTTATATATTTTGGACATCGAGATTCAGTGACAGCTTGTGGTGGGGGGTGGTTTAAAATAGTATGCTTCCACTTACAACCATAGCGTATATAAAAATATAGACGTAATGTCACGTTTAACAATAAACTATAGTTTTGCTAGCACATTAAACTCTATATAGCCCTGCTATCACATTGAACTATATCCTTCATATCACATTAAACTACAGGCTTGCTATCATAATAAAACATAGCCTTGATATCTCATTAAATTATAGCCTGGCTATCACATTACACTATAGCCTTGCTATGACATTAAACTCTAGTCTTGCTATCATATTAAACTATAGCCTGGCTATCACATTAAACTATAGCCTTGCTATCACATTAAACTATAGCCTGGCTATCACATTAAAATATTGATTTGCGATTACATTTAACAATAGCCTTGCTATTACATTCAACTATAGCCTGGCTATCACATTAAACTATAGCCTGGCTATCACATTAAACTAAAGCCTGGCTATCACATTAAACTATAGCCTTGCTATACAATTAAACTATTGCATTGCTATCACATTAAACTATAGCCTGGCTATCACATTAAACTATAGCCTTGCTATCACATTAAACTATAGCCTGGCTATCACATTAAACTCTAACCTTGCTATCACATAAAACTATTGCATTGCTATCACATTAAACTATAGTCTTGCTATCACATTAAACTATATCCTGGCTATCACATTAAACTATTGCATTGCTATCACATTAAACTATAGCCTGGCTATCACATTAAACTATAGCCTTGCTATCACATTAAACTATAGCCTGGCTATCACATTATACTCTAACCTTGCTATCACATTAAACTATAGCCTGGCTATCACATTAAATTAAAACCTTGCTATAAAATTAAACTATAGCCTGGCTATCAAATTAAACTATAGCCTCGCTATCACATTAAACTTTAGCCTGGCTATCACATTAAACTCTAGTCTTGCTATCACATTAAACTCTAGTCTTGCTATAAAACTAAACTATAGCCTAACTATCACATTAAACTATAGCCTGGCTATCACATTAAACTCTAGTCTTGCTATAAAACTAAACTATAGCCTAACTATCACATTAAACTATAGCCTGGCTATCACATTAAACTATAGCCTGGCTATCACATTAAACTATAGCCTGGCTATCACATTAAACTATAGCCTGGCTATCACATTAAACTATAGCCTGGCTATCAAAATAAACTATAGCCTGGCTATCACATTAAACTATAGCCTTGCTATCACATTACACTATAGGCTTGCTATCACATTAAACTATAGCCTAGCTAACACATTAAACTATTGCATTGCTATCACATTAAACTATAGCCTTGCTATCACATTAAACTATAGCCTGGCTATCACATTAAACTATAGCCTGGCTATCACATTAAACTATTGCATTGCTATCACATTAAACTATAGCCTGGCTACCACATTAAACTATAGCCTTGCTATCACATTAAACTTTAGCCTGGCTATCACATTAAACTCTAGTCTTGCTATCACATTAAACTCTAGTCTTGCTATAAAACTAAACTATAGCCTAACTATCACATTAAACTATAGCCTGGCTATCACATTAAACTCTAGTCTTGCTATAAAACTAAACTATAGCCTAACTATCACATTAAACTATAGCCTGGCTATCACATTAAACTATAGCCTGGCTATCACATTAAACTATAGCCTGGCTATCACATTAAACTATAGCCTGGCTATCACATTAAACTATAGCCTGGCTATCAAAATAAACTATAGCCTGGCTATCACATTAAACTATAGCCTTGCTATCACATTACACTATAGGCTTGCTATCACATTAAACTATAGCCTAGCTAACACATTAAACTATTGCATTGCTATCACATTAAACTATAGCCTTGCTATCACATTAAACTATAGCCTGGCTATCACATTAAACTATAGCCTGGCTATCACATTAAACTATTGCATTGCTATCACATTAAACTATAGCCTGGCTACCACATTAAACTATAGCCTTGCTATCACATTAAACTATAGCCTGGCTATCACATTAAACTCTAATCTTGCTATCACATTAAACTATAGCCTGGCTATCACATTAAATTCTAACCTTGCTATAAAATTAAACTATAGCCTGGCTATCAAATTAAACTAT